TTTACTTTCGCTTTTCATGAATTCTAATAGTCTATTTGTCTTTTGAAATTCTGTATTAGACACATGCCAGACAGCTAATTTCATTTTGAAAAAAAAAAAAAAATCACAGCTGTTGTAGCAGATACGATCGTTGTAATGTGGACAGGGCATCTTTCATCTTTAAAAGAAAAAAAAAATAGTGAAAAAGGATAACAATGCGCGGCAGGTAGAGATACGAAATATATAATAATCAAATCCACAGTAGAAGAAGGGGTTAGTTAAGAAAATGCACGAAGCCGTTGAAAATTGCGTCATCCATCCACTCATGTTGAAGGAAAAAGGTTGTGATTCTCGATTTTGAAACATTTCTCTTCACAATTTTGATACAAAGTATGAACCAGAGATATTGCTTCCACCCAACAGAAGCCATGGTCATCTTTTTCTCAATATCATTCTTTGGGTTCCTTTTGTACAATGAATATGTGAAAACAACACCATTTCCGTCTTCCAAACAGCATATGGTCTCCCAGGAAGAATCGGGCAAGAGCAACAAGCTTGCAGTTCCAGAAAGCAATGATAGGAACCATAAAAGCATTGAGTCCCCAGTAAAAGGCTGTGATATATTCACAGGGGAGTGGGTTTTTGACAATGTTTCATACCCTTTATACAAAGAAGCTGAATGTGAGTTTCTTTCCGAGTGGGTTAGATGCATGAAGCATGGAAGACTTGATTCCCTGTACCAGAAATGGAGATGGCAGCCCAGAGATTGTTCCTTGCCCAAGTAAGTAAATCCTTTTCTTGCATTTTAGATTAAGGATACTACTCTGTTCTTGACGATTTGCCATGTCTGGATTAAAGATTTGATGCAAAATTGTTGCTCGAAAAACTTCGGGGAAAGAGGCTCATGTTTATAGGAGATTCAATGCATCTCAATCAGTGGGAGTCCTTGGTTTGCATGATTCAATCTGCCATTTCACCAGGCAAGAAGAGTGTGAGCTATGGAAGCTACATCTATGCCTTTAAAACGGAGGTTCCCCAATCTCACTTGAGTCCTCTTTCTGCCCTAAAATAAACAAAGACTTAATTGTCTGATTTCTGAATTGCTACTTGATTTCCCAGGAATACAATGCATCAGTGGAGTTTTACTGGGCACCATTCCTGGTGGAATCCAATGCAGATCCTCCAACCATGAGAGATGGCAGAGAAGATTCAGTAGTCATGCCTGAATCAATCTCAAAGCATGGGGAAAGCTGGAAAGGAATTGACTATCTTGTCTTTAACACATACATTTGGTGGATTAAGTACCCAACTATGAAAGTGTTGTAAGTACTAAAATGAATATCATTAGCTTTGAGTTCATGGAGCTGACTCTATATTTTCTTGTTGAAACCGGTTGAGAAGACGAGGATCATTTGATGAAGGAGCCACAGAGTATGATGAAACTGAAGTCAGCGTGGTATATGAGAAAGTTCTAAGAACATTGGCCAAGTGGGCAGAGAAAAATATCAATCCCAATCAAACTTCAATTTTCTTCAGCAGCATGGCTCCTCAACATTCCGTGTATTACTTCAGTCTTCTTCCTTACAAGCTATTCAGAAGCATTATTTGAAATTTACAATTTGTGTGCAAATGTGACAGGAGCTCTGCCTGGAACAACCTGACCGGAATTAACTGTGCTGGGGAGACAACACCAATTGTAAACATGTCTACCTCACTGAAGTGGGACATAGATCAACGTCTTTTTGCAATTGCAGAGAATGTGACAAAATCCATGAAAGTACCTTTTCACTTCCTCAATATAACAACCCTCTCAGAATACAGGAAAGATGCTCATGTCTCTCTTTATGGAGTTTCTGAAGGCAAGTTGCTCTTGCCGGAGCAGAGGTCTGACCCAGCCAGATATGCAGATTGTGTTCACTGGTGCCTCCCTGGTCTGCCTGACACTTGGAATCAGTTGCTATATGCACTCATCTTATCCCCTCCTTGATTCTTCTGAAACCCAGTTAAGGCTCTTTCTTCTCTATTTTCTTCATCGGTACAACGATTCACAGCTATCAAATCTTCCTCTTCAGATAAATTTCCAAGCTGACAGATTTCTGCATTATAACTCATTGTAAATGTGCATTATAAGGATACAGGAGTTGCAGAGTGACATCACAACTTTTGATAAGCATTTTAGGTGATTCTACACAAAATATAAAAGAAACATGACTTAGAATTTAAAACTGTAAAATGTAGTTTAGCTTTAACATAGCAACATCTACTTCATATCATACAAACTACACATTGTTAGAGCTTGTTCCAATAACCGCTTCTTAATTAGATTACTCTGGCAGATGAAATGTGGTTGATGGCTTTTTGAAAACCATAAAAACATTTTCTGCTCTTTGACAAACTTATATGTGTGGGCTTTTGAACTGTTTTCTAGTTATAAAAATACAAAGAGTGGGGCTGAGAATAACTTACCAAAATATTGGAGAAGATTGTAAGTTCATTTCCCCTCCTTTGTGAGGTGAAACAAGAACAATTTGGAAAGGACTGCAGAGCGGATGCCACTAAGGCATCAAACATGAGCTCCGCTCTTGCATCAGGAAGTCATAATGGAATCATTTTAAGCAAGTATTTTGGTAGTTAAGAGAAACTAGAAGACAGATCCGGATTCAGAAAAATTACGCTCCATGGAGAAACTTGGATATACCCAATTTTCCCCAAGGAACTAGATGATTTTGAGTATACAAAGATGCCTAGTTCACAGAAAGTACCTTTAAACTAGAGACAGAATGAGTGAATCGTGGACAATAGCAGTACCATTGTAAACCTGCTCCACCATTGAACCAAATTGTTGTGCACAAGGACGAATACCAAACCTCTAGAAGAATGTGAAGAACATTTATTCATCAAAATGTAACTGATTAATTGAAAACAATCGAAATTGGCGGCTGAAATTTACCGTTTACCTTTTATCAGAGATCGTGATCAGAGAGGTGGCTGAGCGATGATCCGGAGGTACTATTTGTCGTCTTTTCCGTCTCGCTCTCTCACTCCGTGTGGATCGAAGAGGAAGTAGAATGGTATTTTATCGTGCGAATCATCTGGCGGTTTTCCGTCCAGACCTTCCCCGACTCAAAGCCCAAACAGCCTGAATTCGCCGAGCACTGTGAGTTGGCGCACGGCCAACCGGCATTTCCTAGTGAGTCGACTCGGTAAGACTTGGTTTGATGAGCTGGAGGCAGAAAACAAGCGAGCGTGAACTGCGTAGTGCTGAGAATGTGTGTCAAGGTGTCATCTTCCCTAGAGAATTTTCTGTTTGGATGGTTGGTGTTTGACGATTCGGGTCAAGAACAAAGCTGTCCCGTGCCAGTTTCAAAGAACGGGCTAAACACTGAATATTTTCTGTTTGTATGCGATCCAGATAGGATTAGTCGAATAAAAACTTCGGTCCAGTCCAAACCAATAGAATCATGGGCCGATGAATTACCGAACGGGCTGTTCGCTGAACCGCTTCCATAAACAAATGGGAACACAAAGCATGTATCAACAAAAAGTTTTTATTATTTTCTTTACCCAACAAAAAAATTTTAAAGTATTTTCCTTTTGGTTGTTTCATTATTGAACATGACCAAATCTTCAACCAAACATGATTGAATTGAAGGCACAAAATTGACCAAATCAAGACAATTTTTTTGTTTTTGAGTTTACATGTTCAACATTTATATTCCAACATTTGAAAGTTGAATCGTATAATTTTAAAAAGTTAACGAATGAGAACGAGTTCAAAATTCAAATATATATATATCATTCAATAATGCTGGCTATATGCTTGAAACTTTTTGACTTTTAGAATCAAAACTAAAAAATTACCAAGATTAACTAAAAATAGTTTATTTAGTAGAAACTACACACCATTACATGTGTTGGAGGGGCATGCAGTAACGAAGTACAACCCCAATTCGGCTACATCCTTACATTAGAAAGACTAAGAAAACAAGCAAACTTCATCAAACATGCCCAAGCATGTGTGTGTCACATTTCAAGGACTGGAGCTAGCTATCTAGCTCCTGGTCCTGAACTTGGACTAAGCAACCTGAATTCCCTCCCTCGCTAGCACGCGCCCCACCAGACTCATCACCTGTGCTCAGCCCACCCTTTTTGCCCATCTCATGGTATCCTTCGCTACCCAACTGCTCCTTTCTCGCCTGCCCTCCTCTTCTTCTTCCTTCAATTTCAAAGGGAAAAACATATTTTTGAAAATCTTATTTTTCAATCTAAACCATATAAGTATCAAATTATTAAAAGTACTCTGATAAAATTATAACTCGGACTAGACTTTAAATTTAAAAATTCAAGTGTAATTTGAATTAAAAAATGAAATTTTACAAAT